GTTGCTCTCTCACATGAAGAGCAAAAAGAGCCAGCTGGAGTTACAGGTAGTTATTAAATAACAGAGCTTTCCTATAGGCAATTGCATCCTTTTTAGACACAAATGGAAGGACGTCACTTTGTTCAAACATCAAGGGTCTTCTGACACTTTTCCAGACATGTGATTTTATGGTACTATAGATACTCAATTACTTCACATACTTCAGAAATGAAACCTAACCCAAACACTTGCTTTGAAATTTCCCTTGCAAGAAAAACAAGGCAAATGTATACTTGCTTAAGGCAAAAGCAAAGAGGAAGTACAGGAATTAGTGGCAATACCCAGGAAATACCAGATTGTTCCTTGCATTTAATTTGCCTGTGCCAATTAATAGCTGCTTTCATTTAAGAGCAGCCAGAAGCAGATGGTGAGGTATTGCTTGGAGCAGAGAACATTCCTCCAGGAAGGGAGAGATGAGGAGTGGAAAGAGCTGTGAGGGGAACTGTGGATTAAAGACTTGCCCTCGTCATGTTTTTCCCTTTCTGCTGAATTTGTGAGGCCAGGAGGTGGGAATACAGAGGGTAAGTGCCTGGCCAAGGACTCAAAAGCCCCTAGTTAGGGCAGGAGTCATCAGTGCTGTGTGAATCACACTTTCAAAGGTATGAAATTGTCTATACTTAAAAATAATAATAAAAACTCCAGGGAGCTAGAAGTGAATAATTCACAGCTGCTCTGAGATCAATGGTGGCTTTTTTGCTTCAAAACTGGCCTTTGCTCAGAGGCCTTACAGAGTGTTTCCCCTCTTTCAGCTGTAGCAGCTGGTGTTGGACTTTGATCATTTGATTTCCTGAATTTCCTCAAATTAAGGAATGACATAATGACAAGTGCTCCACGTTGGTCTCCAATACAGCCTGGCACCCCACAGGATGTCACTCCTGGGGGCTGTAGCTGCAGCAGTGACAGTTGCTGCAGACACCAACAGGACAAGGGGATCCATCTTCCTACAGCATCTCAGCACCTCCCACACCCAGGAGCTTCTCGCAATCCCACTGGAGGTTGTGTTTTGAAATTGAAGATTTCTAAGCAGCTCTGTCACCTCTGCGCTCCCTAGTAGAGGAACACCTTCCCCTCATCCATCTCAAAAGATACTCTCCAGCTTGTCAGGGATAAGGAATTTAAGATATTAAACCTTAGTTTAGCATTTAAGTGGTGCAGTCCTGTTCCATGAAAACAACATTTTACTGCTAGGGGTTAAAGGTCTGTACAGTTCCATAAGTCTGCATATCTAACATTATTTTGAACATTATGAGAAGGAATCAAGTCTTCATATATACTGAATTTTCTACCCGACAAGATCCAATTAACATGAAGTAAACTTAGACACAGTACTATAAAGGCTAAGATGTTTATTATTATGACATTTGAAATTTGAATGTGAACAGTTCCTGCTTGGGAATTTCCAAAGGGTGCCCAGGCTACACCGTCACTTAAGTAAGCTTAAAAACATAGTGTTGACAAAGCTGTAGTAGAAGAGAACCCTCTTGAACAAACAAAAGTTCACCCTAAAAACCTTAGGTGCCTTTAGTCATCAGGCTCCAAGTCTGAACAAAAAACTTACTAATAGCTTAAATTACATTTTCTTTATTCTTAATTTTTGGCTATTCACACATGTAGCTGCCCATTAGAGGAAGGGAAGAAGAGGAAGTTTATTTCAGCAGTGAGGAAAGAGAGAGTGAAAGAAGAGAGTTAACTATTACAGACTCTTTAGCAAACGGCTGCAGATCTCTTCAATTCCTGAATAATTACCACCTGTGAGTTAGTGCTTACTCCATTCATTTAAGGAGGAAGAAAACACGTTGGCCTTTCTGTTCTAAGCTACTATGTGCTACGTGTTTAAGACTGCACTACTCCTTACTGTTAACAGCAAGGCCTAGTGCAGCGCTTAAATTCTAAGAAAAGATTTAATTCAACAGGGTGTCAGCTGAAGACCTGTCCCTTGTAGATGGCTTCATCTATACCCTTGTGCTGCAGGTGAGCTGGCACGGGCAGGCCTGCTTGACCTGAGTCCTCATCCCTCCCCAAGGAGGGAATCCGACACTGCATTGTGCCAAAGAAACCTATAAACTTAGAGCTTATTTCTTAATATTGCACCTCATTCTGAATTTGCCAAGGATCTTCAGCGCAGTAACTCCATGAGCTGTAATAGCTCATGAGCCAACTGCAAAGCTATTGCCAACCAGTTTAAAATTCCATGATAAATTATTGCCCTGAGGGGCAATTTTCTTAAATTGATACCTTTTATTTACTCATCATGTAACATAAGATCAAACAGTGGAAAATATTTCAAGACAAATGCAAACAAAGAAATAAAGCTGTAAGACGCAACAGATGTGTTGCACAGTGAGTTCCATTCCAGTGTCCTAAACTTGGATTTTTATAAAAATACTAATTGGGGAAATAAAAAAGCATAACCATAAAAGCTACTCCTCTGTTACTAGAGAAATAAGGACATGTTCAACATCATCTACAAGATTTATCATCCTAAATTCATATGGAAATTACCTGAATCATCTTTAGTTCAATAAAATTAATTTCAAATAACCACCAGCATTCTTCCCTTGATTTTTAAACTGTGAAACCATCATATAATCCATTGAAGAGCTAAAGCAAGTAACAGAACACACACACTCCAAGTTCTCCTATCTATATGTTGCAATTTCAAAACTTTAACGACTTCCTTTCCTTAAAAAAATCGTTTTAGAGAAGATGTGAATAAATGTTACAGAAAAAGGAAAGACTAAAGCAAGAAAAATAGATTCCACCGAGTAATAAGTATGAATAAAAGTATTTGGGGATAGAGGAGGTCTTAAAAGTCACAAGACCCGTCAAACCAAGGTGACCGATTAGCAAATTTTTCCAGCAAGTCAAAGTTGTAAAATAAATTTGTTTTTAAATGCCAAATATTCTTGGAAAGTCATCACTGAAGGTCACAATTCAGGCAGAAAGCCTTCATAAAAATATACTGAAGAGCAATTGTAAGACAACCTTCAGTCTGAGAAGATGAAACTTTACCCATGTCCAAATAGCTCTGCATTAGTTTCTCCTTTTAAGAAAACTCAATAATTTGCTGATTTTGAACTGTATTCAAACAAAGTCTGAACATTAATCAGAACATAGGGGGGAGATAGTAAGTATTTCATATGAGTTTACATATTTTTATGATGTCTACACTAAGAAAACAGAATGGCTGTAATTCCCTCAAGAGATCAGAAAAATATTTCAAGCTGCAGCATTACAGCATATTGACAGTCTGGTAACAAAAGAAACGTCCTTTTCACTGCTCCTGTGTAACTTCTTTCTGTGCATGTGCTTTTTCTTCATCAGGTTTAAGTGTAGTAGTGGATAATGAGCTCTCAGTACTGTTTAGGAGTAGCTTTGTTTCTTGGTTATTTGGATCAGTTCCTAGTGCTGTTGTTGAAATTTCATTAGGAAGAACAAGAGAAGGTAAAGACGAAACGGAAGGTATTGGCTGATCCAGCTCAGGCTGCTTAGCTGAACCCTCAGGATATGTGGTCAAGTCTTCAGGGTCCAAAGCTGTGAGATTCTCTGGGAAAGGGAAATCGTTTGTACAAATTAAAACCCATCATGCTGATGGACAGTGCTCTGGCTTCCCTATTTCTAGAATCTCTGCTTGAATGAAATACCTGAGACATTACAGATCCACAACTCCTTCCCTGATAAAATACATAGAGCAGCTGTTTACTCAGTTCTCACAAAATGCAGAATCTCTGAAGGTGCAGTAAGTTTTAGGAGGTCACGAACCATTCAGTCTGCATCATTCTTATGCTACAGATGTTTTCTTTAATATTAAATTCTACCCCTCCACTCTCCTTCTCAAAGGAAAAAGAAGCCATGCAGTGAAGAGTTTTTCCTTCTAAATAGAGGAGTTGCTGTAAAAAGACTGCAATTTTGTTTTCACATTTGAAAATGTGGAAACAAGCCTGTAGTCAAAACATTGCCATTGATTTTAGAAATATGTACTTGTAAGCTCAGTTTAATTTGGATCATCAATATTTTCAGTTAAAGAATAAATGCCACATTTCACAACTGTATAAAAATGCCCATTTTCATCTGTTTCTACAGCCGAATTCTACTATTTCTTCCACCTCATTTTAGCCAAAAATCCCCTTGATTTTTCAGCTAAAGCTTTTTAATATTATTTCCAAAAAACTTGACACTGATGACTGAGCATGAACCAACACCATTCTAGAGATTAAGTCAGAGGTGTGTCAATCTTGACTACACTCACTTACCAAAATAACCAGTAGATTCACTGTTAGACGTTAGATTTTCAGTTTCTCCTGAAGTGTCTGCCGTTGGCATCTTGAAGGTGGCAGAGATGTCAGATACTTTTGTCAAGTTGGTGAGTTCAGGAAATGAAATACCAGACATGTCTAGAAATCCTGAAAGAGAAACCAAACATTGCAATTCTGCTTTAGATACAGCACAAAGCACTAGATTCAAGTATGTCGTATCCAGGCAGAAGACACTCCTCACAAAAGTACTCTCCTCACAAAATGCAATAAAACAGGAATTTAAAAATATCTGCTGAAGTAGGTGGAAAGACTTCCACAGGATTCATCAACCTTAGTCACATGCAGAGTATGAAAATGCTATAGCTCTGGAATCCACCATAGTCAAGATCTCATACTTGTTTAAGACTTTCTTAGTTTATTTAGGTGTCCTCTAAGAAACTGCTGGGGGGAGAAGAACTATCACTAACAAAAAGGAAAACACACACATGCTCATACCTGGATCCATAACTCTTTGGACTGGAGGAGGAGTAGAAAGTGAGCTCTCTGGTGAATAACCACCCATTTCTTGATCTGTAGACTGATCCAAGCTCGTAACTATTTCAGAGGTTTCACTCAGAGAAGCAGGTGCCAATAATGGAGTCTGTAGGAAAACAGTAAGAAGAAAAAAATCAAAGTTACTTTTTATTCACCCGAAAGACTATTCCTAGGAAAGCATTCCACCTCAGTCTCCAATTATATCAATTCAGATATAATCTGTGGTGCTAAAACTGATAATCAGGTCACTGATTAGGACAGGTTCTAATATGCCCTTTCAAAGAATGTATGATCTTAAAAGAAAAATCTATAATATTTCCTTGTATATGTATTTTATCTCCTGGCAAGAATGGGATTCTTCTAATGTCGTTCTCATTAAATGAAAGAGCTTCAGAACAAGAAGTATTTGGCAA